TTCCTTTTCAGTCCAAGGATTTCCTGTTACTACCTTTGTTCAAAGCTGTACGCATTACTGCATGTTACTGCCTCTACCTATTAAGCACCTTCCCTGTGCCAGGCAGTGTTTTGAAATTAAATTCAGTCTACTTTTCACAGCAGTCCTAGGAGGGAGGTGTCGTGTCTTTATAAACTAAGGCGCAGGCTGAAGGCACTAAGAAAGTGCTGGAGGTGGGATTGGCTCAGGTCTGCGACTTCCAAATCCAATGCTTCTACTACTTTGTAACACTATTTAGAATGGAAAATGATGCAACTAAAACCATGGTCCGTCTTGAGACAGAAATCTCACAAGGGGCACCTGGGTGGCCCAGTCGGTTAAGTGTCTCTTGGTTTTGGCTCAGGTCATGATCTCTGGGTTGTGAGATCAAGCCCTGCGTCGGGCTCCGCACTCAGCCCGGAGTCTGCTTGAGATTCTCTCTCCCTCTGCTCCCCGCAAATAAATCAATCTTTTTTTTTTTTTAATCTCTCACAAATGCACACCACACATACATTCCCTGTACGATGATATATAATCACCCAACCTTGGGAAAAACAGTACCACTGCCGGCAAGTAAATGCATTTTATTCTCGTTTTGAGATTTTTCCACAGCTGCCATTTGTTTTGTATAGCAAAATTTTTAAAAAGTAACTTTTCCCCCATTTTTGATATTTTTATGAAAATCATTTTCTTCGATTTTAAAGCCCTGCCCCTCCCCCAAAGACATATTAATAACTACCACATAATGTGTACGTAGAGGAGAGAAAAGGAACAAAAACAGCTCTTAAACACTTGTGAAACAGGGATCAAAGGCGAAAGTCAAGACGTAGGCCCGCTGGAGGTGTGAAGCTGCTGCGAGGCACCCATCCGCACTCTACCATCCGCACCAGCAGATGGGTAAGTCACGCACAGACCCTCAGGGGCTTCTCGTTCCTCAGGCTGCACTCCCTTTCTCCTCTTGACCTCCTCTGCTGGCTGTCCTTCTCTCCAGATCCGTCCAACAAAGGCAGCACAATCTTTAATACACGTTCAACTTTGTAACGGAGACAATACTGTATTCAGAAAGTTCGGCGATTCCCCTCCATCTAGTTCGGGAGGATAAAATATCCAACAGAGTACAGATGGTTTTGCTTTTGTGTCCACTCAAAATACACTCATTAAATTATCAGATGCTTCAAAAGTCCTGATGTGTAGACAGCACAAAAGTTCCTTATAAAAAAGAAGTTGCAAAGTTATAAAAATTTCTGCAGCAGTTTAGGCTCCTCGTGTGGAGGTCCTGATGGCAAAGCTGGTTCTGATAAGCAGTTCACGTGATACACGCAGCAGCTTGCCCAGGAGTCCTGTGCTCTGAGGGTTCTATTTAGACCACAGGAGGCTGAAATCCAAGTTTACAAGATTCCCTGCTGACAAAATGTGGCATATCCATCAATGGAATACTACTGAGCGCTCTCAAAGAACAAACTACCAACACAAGTTAGGCCTCATGGATAAAACTCAAAAATATGCTAAGGGAAAAAGCTAGCTACAAGAGACCACAGTTTGTAGGATTCCATTGATATGATGCCCAGAAAAGGCAAATTTGTGGAGACAGATAAGTGTGGTTGCCCAGAGCTGGGAACAGGATTATCATGTAAATGGACATGAATGATCTCATGGGGTGGGATGGAAAACGTCTAAAACTGAGTACAGTTATGGCCTCATCTTTCAGGAAACTTACTAAAATAACTGAAATGTACACTTGAAATGGGTGAATTTTATATGTAAAATAAGCCTTAATAGTTGTTTTAAAAAAAAAAATCCCTGCATTAAACATTTCTGAAGGCTCAATCAATAGGGTAGGATTATCACTTAGTGTTGAGTTACATGGGAAAACACTGTACTGTTTTCTAGTAAATAGCTTAGAGTTTCCCAATGCCCACCAGAACTGGGTCAATCTTCCTGTTTTCTCCACTCATTTCCCAAACGAATGCATCATGTCCCGGGAGAGGGGCTGGGGATACACAGTCTTCCCCAGTAGGTGGCCGTTCCCAAATCTTGGTCAAATTTGTGAGGTGTGTGCTCGTCCCCATACCTAAACGTCACCTAAACCAAGAACCATTATTAACCTGTGATGCTGGGACCCTTATCGAAGAACACCTGTCCCCTCCGATCACAGCAGGGTCGATTCCGGGGCACCTGATGTTTCTACACGGGGTCTGCAGCCGCACTAACACGAGAGGATTCAGTCAACGGTTTCCTTTAGCTCCTTCACACAACGTTCCTCTCTGACGTACAATTGCCAGAGTACTGTAATGACCTCCTTACTCCCTAGCCTCTCCAAAATCAAGACAAAACTGACACTAGGACAATACACAATCTAAAAAATGCTGCTTAGTAGTTCACTAAAAGCATTTTTTAAGCCATAGTTAGGATTATAACCTTAATTAGAGACTCCAGCTGTTTTGACTTTGAAAACTAAAGGTGCTGCAAAAGTCCAGCCCCTGCCTTACAGTGTGTTTTGGTTTGACCGTGCTCGACCCCAAGAGTCCACTGCCACAGTCAGAACACGCACAGCCCCACAGCAGCAGGTGCTCAGGCCTGGGCGGTAGCTGTCAAGTTTTCTGCTGCCGTTCAAAGACCTGGAGAAACTGTAAAGGCATTTCCTTGACTTGTGTTTTTCTCTTGAAGAGCCAAGAGATAAAATAATTTTCATCTTGGAGTTTTAGAGTCCAACAATCACAAAACTCAGAAACCAGTCACTGATGATCTTACACTGGGCCCAGCCAGAACTGGCACTCACTGCAAACACACACTCTATTGCTCTACACATTCTCAAGCTTCCAGTTGCCGATGGAACAAGTTTAAACAGAGTTAGTGGCTCAAATTCAACGTCAAAATAACCACTTATAAATACCTGCCTCGCCCTTAAAAGGTCAAAGTGCCGGCGGGCATGCACCCAGATCGGTCCCTACGAGGAAAGGTCGGAGACAGGGGCCCCCAGCCTTTCCCCAGCGAAGGTCCAACAAGACCCGCACGCATTTTCTAGTAAGGAGCTGGCAAACTCTCTAGTTGAGCCTATGATCTGGGTGACAATTGTGCTCCCGCCTCACAACACACAAGTGACGGAGAAAAGAGCTGGGCTACGGAGAGAAACTGCAGCACAAGCTGACTGGCTAAGAAAAGGGTTGTGCTGCTAGCCGCTTCCTGCTCCTGGAGTCCGCAGACTCTCGTGTCTGAATGGGACTGGGAAGTCCAGCCCTCAGGTTCCACTGCTCATCTGGCAGGAAGCTCTCTCGCTCCTGACCGAATCTGCCTTGTGAAACCATGCTCAAGACCGACATCCAAAACGGAACCCCACAGCAAACAGACAAGCCCTTTGCACTGCTCCCAACATCTCAGCCTATCCTGGTCAGGACAGCAAGCTTCTTTCAGGATAAAGAAACGGCTCCATCCGGATCCCTACAGGACTTTCCAGACTGGGAGCCACACTAGAATCCATTGTTTCTTTCTGAAAAGCCCACGCTCTAGAAAATGGCTCTTTCTGCAGTCTCAAAATATTCCCTGTAGCCTTCAGGACTCTGAGCTTGGACAAGGTAATGGAGACTGAAGGAGGAAACGGAGCCCTGGGACACACAGATGTCTCTATTCCTGCACTTCCAAGGCCCTCTCCCTATTAGAGGCAACGACCCCAGTTGAAAGCTGAAGCTGCAATAAAGAAGGTTCTTTATTCATAGCCCTCCCTGGAAACGAGTTAAATGTTCCAGTCTCTTGAGGTAGAGGCTTTGGGAATTAATGTGCACGCCTGGCAATACAAGCTCCTTACGCTACTCTCTGACATGTGACCTAACGGGGAAGGCCATTCTTTAAATGATGCCATCCTATAGACTCAAATGAGGAAAAGATGTGGGTTCGTATTTTAAATCTGACATTAGCCTGTTGCTGTTCAGAAAGTCAACAAGGGGAGCACCTAAGAAAAGGGAGAAATTCCTAAGCTTTCTAGACACTGGTCCTTTCCTTCCAACCTCTGTCCCATATCCACATACTGAATTTACACAGACTTTATTTCATTACGTGGTCTTTTCCTGATAGGCCTGTCACACAACACAGTAGCAGTCATACAGAAGCTGCTGTCCCCCTCAGGCCTCTGCAAGTCCTCGTCCTAGGAGAACGGTCAGGACGACACATGTTCTCCTTTAGACCTGACTGCCACCTACATCTTCATCACACAAAGGCAGCTTCTGGTGCCCAGTTTAACCCCTTATGAGTATCAACAAAAAAACCCCTGTGATTTATAGTCAGGAAAAACAAAAGGAATATACCCAAAGAGCCCAACCTAGAAAACTCGTAAAGCTGGGTATGTGGGAACAGCAAAATTTTATAATTGCTGAAACTGTCCCGCTGGGTCACACGGTCACATGGGTCAAGCAAGACCTACTCTCCCAGGCTTTTTTTTTTAGTTCTTTTGCATAAATCCGTAAGGTGGGGAGAAGCATCCAAATTGTGAACTGAGCTTCTCGCTGGTGTCCTGAAAAATATGTTTATGTGGGAAAAATTACTGGTAATAATTTCTAAGGGAAGATACCAGGAGGACCAAGTCTTCATGGTGCTGGCAAAAAATTGCCAAAATACTCTTAAGACACAAGGAACAGAATTCAAGGTTGACTACTCCAGACTGAAGCTGAGGGCCAGCACAGCATACCTCTCCTTCCCCTCTGGTAACAGTATCTCTTCTTAAAAACAGTAGGGTTGGGGTGGAAAGGAGATAGGGGACTAGATGCCATGAGGGACAAAGTGACAAACCCACCCTAGAGCTCTTTTACCTCATAAATAATGAAAAATGAGTTTGATGGTAGCTATAAGCAGAGACTTAAGAACAGGCCAGCAGTGACTGAGTGACCCAAATGACAATCACTAGCACAGCCCACCCCTGCTGGTTTGCAACCTTCATTAACCATCAGAAGAGTTACCATAAACCAGTCCTTGAAGTCTGTGTTTTCTTGAATGGGGTTCCAGGCAAGGAGACGTGGGCTTGGCAGGCCATGGTAATCTGCTTTATCACAGGAAAGCCCTGGGGGTCAGGGGAGCTGGGCTGTGAACCCTGATTTGCAACACCTCCTTCTTCCATTTGTCCCTCTTCTCATCCAGCTTAACAGACTCGATAAATAATTCTCCAGGTGTTCACTGCCCTTGGTAAGTGTACAGTAGGGTGAGAAGGGCATTCTTAAACACCCAGATTTTCTTGGTCAGCTTATTTTGTTTAAACACACACAGCAGAACATTCCTGATAAAGGGAAAAAAAGACTGCAATTTCCTTAACTCAAAAAGCTAATAATAATAATAATAATAATAATCATAGGAAACTGCTCCAAACCAAAGTCAGTAGAACAAAAGAAAAATACTCAGAGACTCAGAGGCTTGTAGAGTAAGACTGAGCAAATTAGTTACTCCAGTCACAGTGTCAAGTTAAACCACTATCCCCCTTCCCCACTGTGCACCCCTCACCCGCCCCACCCCCTTCTTCAGCTCCGCCTCTTTGTGCAGCACTGTCCCCAGGTGTGGGGACATACAAGTTCTCCTCAAAGCTTTCTGTCAGCTCAGTACTTCACTCCTGGAATAAATTCCTTGGCATCCGGGTTCAGATTACTTTTGCTCTGAAATAAGAACCAAGAGATAATAAATCCCACTTTAAAAGTTGTTTTCTCCCTGCTTCCACTACTACCAGTACCTTCCTCTCAGCCACCAAGAAGGAAAAAAGCTCCGGCTGCTATTGCTGGGCAGCTCTCAATGGCTCCTGACATACTAAGCCTTAACCAACCTCATTTTCTCCTCCTGCTTTAGACTCCTGTTCTCTTCATGATGCTTTCATTAGAGACTTGCAAGTCTGACTGCAAAAATAATTGTTCAGTTCACTGAGTACCTTAACTCGATGAAAATCCGAGTATTCCACCAAAGCAGTTTGGTGACCACCACCCCTCTATTTTCCACCTCGCTGTAGTCTCTTTGGTTATCTACCCTCTTGTGAACGTCCAAAACCTGAGAAAACCACAGGGCACAGTCCTTTGGAACGTGAGTTCTGTGAGAACTAAGTCACTCACAGAGATCTGACTGTAAGTAAACATGAAAGGCAGGAAATTGGTTTATCCAGTCTTTTAATTTTAAGTGGAAAATGGCCTCTTAGGAGTATGTTCCTTCCAAAACTGCATAATTCAAAACTATAAATATAGATTTGAGGAATAGTAAAAGGAAAGAACAACAGCAAGTGATCATTTGAAACCAAACCTCTTCTGTGTTCAAATTCTTATCCTTAATCCCAGTTCTACTTTGAAAGCCCCCTGGGGGAAATGAAAGCTGGAGATGCTGCCACAAGAATGTTTTCACGATGCTGTGTGTGGTGCAACGTGTCTCCAATGCACCCTCTTATCAAAGCCCATGGGATGATGGGTGAAGAGACAGGGGCCAGAGACTTGCCCAAGGTGGCAGGGCCAGAAAAAAAGTCTGTCACTCCAAATCCCACAGTCTTTTCACTATGTCTCCTGTGCAACTACGTACAGCTCTTACCAAAATATCTTCAGAATCGTGACCATCGCTGATGGACAGTCCATTTAACTGCTGCTGCAACTGTCCCATGGCCTGCGGCAGGTCCCGGGAGGGGATGAACCAGTCCTGGTCTTCTTCATCCAGCATCTCCTGGAAGCAGCGGTCTAAGAAGTCTTGCTCCTGCAGCTCCTCCTCCACCTAGCAAGCCAAGGTGAGGAGCTCACACTTACCGTCCCAGTACGACTCACCCCTCCCAGTTTTCTACCTCTCTCTTTTGGAGGGTATTGGTCGGCAGTTGAGAACGATCTTGTCTAATAAGAATTAAGATGCTTCGAATGACTGGCTAGAGAAAATACAAGTTTTAGTTTTTCAACCAAATTCCATCAACAATAAGACTAAGGAAACAGTTATTCAGAAGAGCAGAAAGTCCAGGCCTTCACATCTCTTCCGACATCTCTGTGTGACACAGACATGTTCCATCCATCCAGATGGCACTCACAGAGAATCATTTTAAAGCTCGAGACTCTTTTCTCAGTCTTGTTAAGCAACTCTTCTTAAATTTCCCATTTTACAAGTATGAAAAAGGTACAGGTGTTATATAACTAGACCACTACCTGGATAGTGGAGATTAAATCAAAACCAACTCTCAGCTTCTGGCCCTCTTTTCTGGTAATGAGGCCCCTAAAGGAGAAAAATACTTTCAGAACCTTAGAAAGATATAAAGAACACTTTTTGGCAAACCAACAGAAAATGATGTCATCAATGTAGGTATCCTTTCAAAACAAGGAAAAATATGAATATTTAAACAACTTTGTATTTCTTAAAGATGGCCCTAAACTAAAGCACTATGTATCTAGGATATTTTACACCTCTTTGCAGACATCATTAACTCTTAATAAAGAGAACGGTCCAGTCTGCAGATTAAGTGTGGTTTTAACAGGCCCTGGGCCTCACATTTGGCCATCCCTTTCCTGCGGGCTAGTGGCAACTGATTCATAGCTCACTAGCACCACCATCAGAGGGGAAGTCAAGCAAAAATAATCACCCAAACTAGCCCATACACTTATTCATGAATTCAAAAGTCATCAGTAGCACAAGACGTAAAAATAGTCTTCAACATTACAATTAGCCACACTGATCTCAAGTAAATTAGATAGTTGCAAAGTACTTAAAGTAACAACCACCACAAAATATTTCCAAGCCGTAAGATCTAATGTGACTGTTCAAGATCTGCCTTGCCTCTACCCGAGAGCATGACAGCGTGCTCCTCCTTAGTAAATCTACCCTCATTCATTGGTACACAAAAATGGTTACCTGGGCTCAGGGATGTGACTGCAAGCGTGATCTATGTGCTAGTCCCACAAATCATGACACAGTGAGCTGACTGGGGGCAGGGGGAACTGCCGGCTGCCCCACTAAACTTGTTTCCTTGTTCCCAGAGCACCAGGCTGTTCAGTTAAAACCGCATTTCCTGTCTCCCATGCTGGCGATGGCCACGTAACTATTCATCATGTAATGTCTTCCTGAAGGGATGTGAACACTTTGGCATCACTTGGTCAAAAGGAGGTCCCTTCCTTGGCCTTTACCTCTCCCCCTTTCACAGTGGCTGGACTTCCAGTTATCCTTCAGCTACTCAGCTGATCAATGCCCTGGCCAGGCCGGAGCAACACCATCGGAGAAGCATGTGGTCACAGAATCACTGTCTACCTAGAATGCCTACCTTGAGCTATTAATGTCACAGGGATACAAGACAATGGATTACTGCGGAGTCTTTGTTCAAACAGTCTAGCCTTTCCCCACCTAACACACTTCTCCATCTCAGACGTACGTTCTACCAGTGCCTGCGTCCCCATGTGGGGAGCATGCCAGGCTGGCCCGTCTGCACACAGCTGCTGTCCCCCAGAAGTCTATACCACATCACCATGGCATGAGATCTCCTTGCAATCAATGTGTGGAAAAGTATCAGTATCTTCCTCTGAAGTACCATACTCTGGTGTCTTACCAGCTGAAGAGGCTTCTTGGTGAGCCCAGACCAGGCCTCCATGCATTTTTAAATTCTTCTCAAGCTGATAAACCCATTTCTTTTGTTATAGATGAATGGTAAAATATTATAGCTGTTCAGTTACATGCATCTTAGCCTTCCACTTCTTTCTTTACCTGTCTGTTGAAATCTTCTTCATTCTCCATCCACATGTACTCTGCAAATGGGTTTTCCTTCTCATCGTGCCCATTTAATCCCTGATCTTCCTTGGATTTTACATTAGGTGATGTATTTGCTACACTGGATCCATTCATTATGACAGAACCTAAACAGAAGCAAAAGAAAGGATCAAGGGAATGAAAACCTAGAACATCCAGATTCTTCCAGAAGCTTCTGAGGTTCTAAGCCAAAGTTATTACCTATAGATGAACAGAAACTATTAGTCTGTAACTGTTAGAAAACTAACCATATACTGCAGTTATCAACTATACAGACGTAGAATTCTTAAAGAGTTAAAAGAAAAAAAGTGTCTAGGCTCAGTTAGCCTTTCTAGGCAAGTGGGAGGGGGAGATCTTTTCAAGTCCATTTTTTGCAGGTTCTAGAACCTAATCAAGGTCACACAGCTTCCTTAATGTTTAAATCGGTAGAGGAAATGCATTTTTTTTTTTAAGATTTTATTTATTTGACAGAGAGAGACAGCGAGAGAGGGAACACGAGCAGGGGGAGTGGGAAGAGGGAGAAGAGGCTTCCCACTGAGCAGGGAGCCCGACGTGGGATTGGCTCCCAGGACCCTGGGATCATGACCTAAGCCGAAGGCAGATGCTTAACGACTGAGCCACCCAGGCGCCCGGAGAAAATGCATTCTTAATGAACACTGTGAATGACTACGCCGTATTCTGATTCTCAAGCTGTTTTTCTGTAAAACATATTTCAAAAAATAATATATGCTCACTGTATTGATAAACAAAAAGGAGAAAATTAAGGTTACCAGAGTTAACCAACTATCCAGAGTTAAAAACTATTAACAAGGTAGTGCACATAACCTTTCTGACTTCCCCTATGTGTATGCAGACACATAGACACACACACACATCCCCCAAGCATCCATCCTTAGAGTAACAGCACAATGCTCTATCATTTGCCTTTTCTCATTTCTGTGTTAATACCACCAAACTGTCTTTTGGGGTATTTCCAGTGTTTCCATGTTATAAAGGTTAGATGAACTTCTTGTGTTCATCTTTTTCGATGTTTTCCTTAGGATAACCCCTAGAAACTGAATTGCTATATTGGAAACTATGTTTGCCTTTTTTATGGCTCTTGATTTATTGCCACACTGCCATGAGAATTTAAATTCCCACCAGTAGGATATCAGTGCCTATTCCTCTGCACTGAGTATTATTATTTTTTAAACCACTGCCAATCTCTTAAGAGAAAAATTGTCATTTATGGTTTACATTTACATTTCTGTGATTTTTTTACCGAGACTGAATATTTTGAGATACACTTACCGGTCATTTGAGTTCTTATTTTGTCATTTTTCTGCTCAAGTATTTTCACCATTTTTCTATCAGGGTATGTGTCTTTTATCTGCTATAAGGACTTTTATTATATTTGTCATAATTTTTATTTTTCATTAAAGAACTTAAAAATTAAAAACACTATATTTGTTTTGTTTGCTTAATTTTTTGGTGGCAGTTTTTGCTGGCCTTAATTTTTGTCTACATCTTGTGTGAATGTTTGCCTATGGCTTTTTAAAGTACATACATATTTTTTTAATTGCTTACATTTGGCTTCCAAATCCACACTGATGTGTTTGCTGTCATCTGGAATGTGTCTTTTTTCTGTTCTTTATTTAAATCTTAACCATTCTTCAAAAATCATTGCAGTCTTTACTCACTGCTTCCCTCCTCTACCTTCCTGTACCTTGTGAGCTCGGAGTTCATACTACTTAACTATTCTGTTTCATATGCATAATTCTTCTCTTTCCAATTAGATTCTCAATTTGTGAAATCAAGATGGAGGTTTATAATCTCAATCTCAACTCCATCTCCTCCCCCATCCTCCTTGAGGCATCTTTAAGTTTTCTTTAACAATTTTTTTCCTCACTCATTTCCATCGTGGCAACACTAAAAAATCTAATCTTAAAAGACAAGGGAGAATTGTGATGAGTAAAAAATTAGATGAAAAATCAACTCATTGATATTTCAAAAAGAATTTCATTTATGACAGAAACCATTTAATTCACTGCTGGTTTAAGTAGGGCACCTAGTATAAAACATATTGGTTTAACACATTTTAAATAGAGACAAAAGAAATCAATGATTATTCCAAACACTGCTATATAATAATAATTCTATAAGCCTAAAGAAGGTAGGAAACCAGTTCTTTAATTTTACCACCACCATTTGCAACATAACAATGCAGAAGCAAGTCTGCTCTAACTGCCAGGGCAACTGCATGACTAAGTAGGATATCCCTAAGCACAGAGACTCTTTAAGGACCTGACCCTTGCTGGGTAGCAGGTTAAACAGTATTATATTTCCAAAGATTCATTTGGCAATTGGTTACAACCAGCACAGTGATTTCTCCCCATCAGTATGGAAATCACCCAGAGAGAACCAGTATTCAGTTTTCTAAAATATCTGCCTTTGCCTAAAAAATAGATCCTAAGTGCACATGACCGTAAGGAAAAAGAGAAGGCAGACAGACAAAGAATAGAATAACAACCCATCTAATTCCAGAGTGAGGTGGAGCGCAGAGAGCAAACCGCAGGATGCTGCCGTTCATGAGAAAGGGAACGGAAATGTACCATAATCCCAAATTGGGGATGTTACCCAACTTAAAGCAAACACTTTGGAGAAGTTGAAAACACTGTGATATGAGACAGTTAATACTAGGAAAGAGGTTCTCAGGAGGCTATACAGTGTTGATTTGTAGTTTATATCATTCTACCTGTGTTTTCCACACAATTGGAAAGCTTAGGTTTCCCTAAATAGAAGCAATCCAACAACTTAATTTGTATAATGTTTAACAATTTATTTTTAAAAATATTTTATTTATTTATTTGTCAAAGACAGAGAGAGAGAGAGAGCACAAGCAGGGAGAGCAGCAAGTAGAGGGAGAAGCAGGCTCCCTGATGAGCAAGAAGCCTGATGTGGGGCTCAATCCCAGGACCATGGGAGTATGACCTGAGCCAAAGGCAGACGCTTAACTGACTGAGCCACCCAAGTGTCCCTAATGTCTTAACAATTTACAAAATACTTTCATATCTATGCTCTGATTTCAGGCACATAATCTGTCCAACTTCATTCTAAAACAAAACAAAACAAAAACATCCAGATAGTGCTACATGTAAGACCAAAGAAGGTACCAGATTCAAGGGTTAAGCAACTTGAGTTGCTGGGTTAGCTCAAGAATAACACTGGTTTGTGGGCCTCCTGGGTGACAACGCACTGGTGCTTAATGTGCCCCTAGACTTTAATAGTGGAGTGAGAATGGGGAGATTTTGCTGGATACTGGTAACTCCTAGGTAAGGCATTTGAGGAATGCCTTCCAACTCCGGGAAGACACCAGGTAAGACAGGACCACTGCCCATAACTTCCCTGACCTTCCTGCCTCCAGAGTTTCATGTAACATTCTCTTCCTGTTCCCAGCTCCTCTCTAGTTCACCATCCACTATGCTTGCCCTCTAAGTACTCGGTATTTTCCTAACTATCCTATTTTGACCTTTGATGTTCATTATTTCACTTGATCCTCACCACATCAAGGTACATTATGTGTCATCCTAGTGTAGTGGGGACAAAGAAAATACCCCCAAAGCTTCCAGAGATGGAGGAAATGCTTGGGTACATAAGTAGGATCACAAATCAGAATGGCTGCCATGTTGTCAGCTATGTTATGGTAGAGAGGCCCATGTGACAAGGAATTGAATCCTGCTAACAACCATGTGAGTGAGCTTAGTTCATCTTTCCCCAGTCAAGGCTTCAAATGAGACAGCCATCCCAAGTGATAACTTGACTGTAACTTCATAAGAGACTGTGAGGTAGAAGCATACCCAGCTAAGCTGCTCCCAGATTCTTGACCCACAGAAACTATGAGATAATAAATGTTTGCTGTTTTAACCTGCTAAACTTTGCAGTAAGTTGTCACATGGCAATAGGTAATACAGGTATTCAATAAACAATGACAACTAGTTCCGCCATACAAACCATCAGTTGCCACATGTTTCCTCTTATCTATCTAGAGAACAAGCGTGCAGTTTGAAGTAGGTCATGGCTTGAGAAGTCCTTTAAGAATTAAACCTCAACAGTAGATAAAAGAGTTTATGTCTGGCCTGCCTCTATATTGCATTATGAAATCTGAGAATTATTTGAAACTTGTTCCCCCTGTACCTCAGTTTCTCTTATACACATGCAAACATCCTGAAAATGGAAAATAAGAGTTGTCATTTTGGATTAAGATGGGAAAGCATGTAGCCAGCACAGAATCAAAATAGGGGTGCTAAGGCTTGCTAGGCATTTGATTTAGCACTTTACCGTGGTCAAGGGTTCATGTCTAAAATATTGGGCTTGAAATAGGGCCCTCAGTTCTCAACCATAAAGAACTTCAGGTCTTTTAATGTGCCTAGGACATTTCTACAATTCTTCAACAGTTCAACACTTTAAACACCCACAACTTTCGGATCCAATGCCCTCATACCAGAAACTAGCTATTCTTTGAACCTGAGGTTTTTTCAGAAGCTATAAACCTGGACTGTGCCCATGCTAACAGCTTGACTCTGAAGAATACTTGGGACTTTTGGCTGAATTATATGGAAAAAGTCTATTGAGAAATTGCTATAAAAACTAGTCTCTACTATTCTGTTTCCTACAGCTTTGTGAACTTCTTTCAGTCTGGTTAATACCATTTTTAAATTAAATATTGTGAATAGCAGTTTAAAATGTTATTTTAGTTCAAATATGTGGCACTAGATTCAGGTTTGGTCCATTCTCAGTTACGTCTTAGCAACTTAGGTCATTAGATGTATTTACTCATTAACATCGGGTGCCTATTTACCCTAGACACTGTGCTTGACTTGTGCTTTGACAGGGTATACAGTCCTTGCCCTGGTGGTATTTACATTCTGTCAGGAGAGAGACAAACAAATAATTCAGGATAATTATGATCCATGTTATAAAAGGCAAAGTAGAACTAGAAAACAACGGGGGCAGTGGGAAGGACCTAATCAAGTCTAAGAGTGAGGGATGGTTAGGAAAAGTTTCACTGAGCAAACAACACTTTCTTTGATACCTGAAGAATGTAAGTTAACTAGCAA